GCACACCGTTTTCTCCGATATTGTGCGAAAGTCGCATATTACTCGTAAGGCACTCAGACGGTATACAGGGCCAACTTTTCTCCATGCTTCTTGGAGCTATAGTGCATCTACCCAAATGGGTGAGCACCGAGGTAACCATTGACGAAAGTATAAACTTTCTGCTCTGCTTTGGTCCATTGATACTAAGCATTAATCATGGAGACCCACTACTGATGTTTTGTCGCTTGCGAATATAAGGTTGTGATATGATTTCATGTTCACCGACTTTTAATTTTATAGTCTGTATGATTTTTCTGCTGGTGATTAGTGCTGCTTCTGTCTTCTGTTTAGCTAGTTGAAGATTAACAGTATCCATCCAGCGATTTACTAACTCAAAGGTTACTTTGAAGAAATGGCGTATTTTATCTAGATATTTCGAGACAATCACTACTGCTACGTCGTCCGCATAGGCCACTATTTTGGCGCATCTTTGAATCTTTAGTCGCAAAATCCCGTCGTACATAACATTCCACAGCAGTGGCCCTAGAACTGAGCCTTGTGGTACATCTCCGGTAATATTATATTTTTTCGAACCGTTCTTCATGTCGTACATCAAAATCCTATCCGCAAAGTAGCTTGTCTCTACCCTACATACGTAACGTGGAACGTTTTTCCCGCGATTGCTCTCTTGGGTGTATTGACAACTAGATTTATCGCATGCAAGGTTGATCATCCTTTCTGAAATCCATACTGGTTGTCTTCCAGAAGTGGTTCAACAATTACTTCAATTCTTTGATGAAATATTTGTTTGAATATCTTATCAGCCGTATCCACCATGTAGAGTGGACGGTAGGATGACGGTTCTTTTAATGTTTTATTTATCTTAGGGAGAAGTACAATTCGTTATTGTTTCCACTTCCTGGCAAAATCGATTCTTTCAGGCATGTGTTGTAGACGTCTAGGAATAGCGACGACGCTGCCTTAATGATGGTTTTTAAAGCTATGTTAGGAATTTTATCCAATCCCGGAAATTTATTATTTCCTACACGGCTACAAGCCTCCAATAACTCTTCTTTAAACTGGTGGAATGTCATCCAGTTAGCTTGGTGCGAACTGATACCTGAAACTGCGTTGCTGTGGAAACAGCGCAGTTACAACTTTGTGAAAATTGAGGACATGTAGACATCTGCACTTGTTGTTTTTAGCCGAGTCATAACCACCTTATAAGGCCTACCCCACACGTCTTTGTCCACTTCACGTATGAGCTTTTTTCAGCATCTTTCTTTGCTTTCTTTGATGGCCTTATTCAATGCACGACAAAATTTCTTGTACTATATGATCAGTTCCACAGAGTTACAGTCAGTTAAGTAAGAGCGTGGTTGCCTTTAACGACAGTTAATGAAAGATTTCGGTCTAAATCCTTTGCGAGCCGATAATGGAAAGCTTTGTCTTTAATGAATTGTCAACAAAGCTTTAGTTGTCGTTGATCTTTTGAAAAAGAATACGTTAAACGTCATGAGTGCTAAGTTACGCGTCGTCCTACGAAGGCATTTGTACAGAATTGGATACACCTATATAAAGTTGCTAAAAATGTCGATGATTTATCAGAACATGGTTTGAATAAAAAACAGTGAATGTGTTTTTTGGGGAATCCTGCTTTAACACTGCAGCAAGAACGAGCAAAATGTTTAGAAATATCTACAAAACTATCCGAACCTTTATTCGTATTCATGATCTGAATTGGCGCAACACAATGGGGAAGCTTCTGATGACTGAAAAACATGTGCTTCTTTTCCGCTTGGGCACATGAAATGATGAATGTACTGATGAATATTTTAAATGGACACATACTGCCTTCATGCGAGCCGTTAAATTGAAATACGAGCCGTTAGACTGGAATGCTTTGTTAAATTAGTAAAAAGCATGCGTCAGAGATGTCAGCCAATTGTGATGTAACAATGCATATATAAATATTCAAGTTTCATAAAATAATTATTTTTATAAATTAACCCGACCACGCTTGGTTTCTGTCGAGGGCTATTATCAATGCATCTTGGTCAAGAGATTTTGCCTTTCAGCCAGTGCAGTTAGCTTGGTTTGATATGTATGTGTGTGTGCGCGCGGATACATTTTTTTGTCGACAATTTTGGAAACACAAGACAACCGATTTGAATAATTTCAGAGATTATGTGCAAATAGAAAATTGTATGATTTTTTGACAGAACGGAGCGTCCGATTTGTACGAATCAAAGAGCATTTTATTTGTATTGACGAAATAAAGAACTGATGAAATTTTTGGGAAGGTCTAGCAGTTACGGAGATCTAATAAAAAAATGTCAACAAATGCTATTTGGCGGACAAAAAAAAATTATTAGACATATGCACATCAAATTATCACTTACTTTATAAATATTTTAATAATAAAAACAAATTTTGTTTACTTTTCTATGGGTTCCGTTACCAATGTTTATAAGTTAAACTGCGACGCGGCGCCCACACGCTTCTATATTTCGTTTTTACGCAGCTAGCGTATTGCGAATGCTTTGAAAAATAGTTTGTACAGAAATTTCCAAAATATTTCAGATTATAAAAATAGTCTAGTATTTCAAAAAGGTCAATTGTTTTAAAAAATTTAAAAATCTCAAAAATCGATATTTTTCTAAAAGAAAATTGATTTTTTTTTTTGAAAATTTTAATTTTTGGTACAGCAAGTTCCAGAAACTTGCCTTAAGGAACGATGCCATGCACTACTGTTTTTTTACTCGATCTCTGAAACGAAATAATGGTCGAAAAATTGTCTTCACACACACATATCTATTTTTTATAAGGTATGCCAAAATGCTCAGAAATCTGTGAAACGTAAGGACTTACCCTATGGGCAGTTCATAAACAAAACCTAATCAAACTAATTTAAAATGAAAGAGATGGTCTAATATTTGTAAGAATTATGTAAACAGAATTGCACAATTAAAATTATTTAATTTTAAAAATCAGAATTATTTTCGGTAAAAAAAATGGAAATTAAAAAAAATAGATATAAATAATTTCTTTCTCTAAAAGCAATCGTTTCGTCAACACAAGCAATACGTTTTTTCGGAACATTCAAATCGGATGGTTAATTCTCTCAAAAACTGCCGCTTTTCCACATTTAGCTCCGTATCTCCGAAATGGGTGGACCTGTCTTTGTCAAGAACTAATTACCACTTTTTCCCATCATTACAAATTGAATGTTTTCTGGATCATTTAAATCGGATGCCTCGTTTTCTCAAAAACTCAATTTCTTTTTTCTGAACTCTCTTCTTCGCATTTCCGAAACGGCTGGACCAACTTTTGCTAAAAACTAATTAGCACGTCTTCTTATCAATAGGAATCGATTGTTTTTTGATTCATTCAAATTGGTTATTCCGTACGCCAGAAATAGTCGACAAAAATTGTATCCACACACACACACACATCAATTTTTTCTAAGGTATGCCAAAATGATCAGAAACCACTAAAACGTAAAGATATGCAAAAATTTTCAATTTCGATTTTTGGAGGATTAAGTTAAATACTATATGAGTATTTTGGTCATCAACATTTGATTAATGGGTATAAAATTAAACATATATCAAGAAAGTTTTAGGAATAGTGATTGTTTTGCAAGTCCGTGAAACTTTTGGAGACATGTAGCGTGTATTATCTTCGCTGACTCTAGCATTGTGTAACAATTTTGGAAATTATTACGGAGTTTCTGAACAGTCGCTACATCAGTTTACATAAATTAAAACTAGCAACAACCATGAACCGTAGCACTGTTTCTAGATTAATCTAGAGTTAATAGATTTCTAAAGTACAATGCTGCTTATCAATTTATAAACATTTTCAATTATAACTTTATTACAAATAAAGCTTTGGTAAAAGTAATTAATATTATTAAAATTTGTGCCAAAGAAAACTGATTGTCAAAACCTTCAAGTTTCAATAATAAAATACTGTAACAATTTATTAATATAGGGTAAGTTATAGTAATGGGCCAAAAATCGAAAATGAAATTTTTTGCCTGTCTTCACGTTTCAGAGGTTTCTGAACATTTTGGCACACCTCAGAAAAATAGGTGTGTATGTGTGTTCAATATTATTAAAACCATTGTACGGAATAATATAATAAATAAATTATATTTCTGCATTAGTGTATGGCATAATGCAATTATTTTGTTAAAACAAGCAATAAGTTCTTGGAATCATTCAAATTGGACGCTTATTTCTCTCAAAAACTGCCATATTTTTAACATATAGCTAACACACACTTTTTCTAAATTTGGCCTCATTGGATTCAGAATCGCTTGAAACGTCAAGAAAACATAAAATTAGCGATTCTAGTTTTTTTTATGAAAACGTAAACTTCTCCTTCGGCAAGTTAATAAAAATCTTGATATGATGCCAAAAATTGGAAACAAAATTAATACTCATTATTTAAATTTGTATAAATTATCTGATAATTTGATTTACATATATGCGCAATGATCATTTTGTCCACATAATGACGTTTTTTCTTTCGGGATCCCCAAAACCGCTGAAAATACCTTCTCACAAATTCAGTCAATTTTTTGCAAATTTAGTCAAGTAAAATATTTAAACTGTTAAGTAAACTGAATTGACATTTTTAAGACTATTTGCTCCATATATTTGGAACGGCTGGACCTGGCTTTGCCAAAAATTAATCAGCAGGTCTCCTTGTCAATAGAAATCGGAAGGTTTTTTAAATCTTACAAAACGGTTAATCCGTGCATTTAAAATTGCCGACGAAAAATTGTATCCGCATACACGCACACAAATATACATCCATTTTTTCTAAGACCTTGAAAAGTACAAAAAATAAAGATTCGTATCCAGATTAAGATACTTTGTATAAAAATTATACTGATATATTATTTTTTTGCTGCACCATTGAATTTGAATTAGTTCATCAATAAAAGTTTTATAAAGGTTGTTTTATTGCTTTGTGCAAACTAAACATTTTTAAACAAAACTTTATCTTACCCAAGGCAAAATCCAACAATGCGCAGCGCATGCCACCAAGAATCGAACTCCTCTCTTGAGTTTGGATTCAAGTGGAACCACAACATGAAGACGTGATGGGGCAAGAAGCATATTATGAAAACTGCAATGAATAGAAATCAATATGCAAAATATATTATTGACCTATATAAAACAATATATAAAAATATTGATCAAATGCAATTTGTAAGATAACGAAGATTACAAAAAGTCTTTAAAATTGTTCACATGCACTTTTATAAATCTTTCTATAAATTTTATTTCATTATTATATTTATTTTTATATAATTATATGTTATATTAATTAGCTCTCATGTTTATGATTTGTTTCGATTATTTATATGGTGAGTTACTGCATATATATTATCTTATTTTATTGTTTTTATTTCTATATACTTTATTTTTGTTAAATCATGTTTTCCATATAGCTATTAACATTCATTAACATGTTGTTTTAGAAATATGTTATTTTTTATAGCACGTAATTTTGTAATATTTCATTTTATGTAATTTTGTAATATTTCATTTTATGTAATTTTGTAATTTTTCTAATGTAGCACTGAAGATGAGTCTAACAAAAACGTAAGCTGTTTTAATGAAGACATTCTGCTTTATTAAAATCTTTTCATTTTTGAATGGATGCCATGAATGCAAAAATTAAAAAAAAAAGTGCACGTAAGGTTCACGCGCGATTGAAGTAAAAGTTTTTTGCTATTGTACGAGATTGCATTTAAGTTAAAAATAAATATATCATATAACAATTTTGAATAATGTTCATCATTAATATTGTAACACTCGTGATGCACACATTTTTTAATCTTGATAAAACTTGAATTAACAACCCTTGATATAAATAAATAGTATTTTGAAGTACAAAAAGTTTTAAATACTTTGTCAATTTTCCATTAAAAAAATTAAAATAAAAAAGTTACTTCAAAATTAAAAAAGTATTAGGTTTTAATAGTAATAATGAATTATATTTGAAATAAAAATTTAAACATTTTCTTCAAGCTCAAAAATATGAACTAAAATTATGTCAAAAATATTCAATAACTGAACGCCAGATAATATATAAAAATAGAGGTTGGTAATAAAAAAGTAAAATTTTTGAATTATATGTATTTCTTAATGCCAAATTATAAAAAAACTAGTGGTGTATGGCATTGTGGCTTAAGGCAAATTACTGTAACTTCCCGTACCGTTACGATATACTAAAATTTAATTAAAGAATTATTCTCGATATACTAAAAAATTTTTTTTTTAAGAAAAAAATTAAATAATTTTTTTTCCAAAACCAATTGTTTTGCGAACACAAGCAGAATTTTTTTTCTAACTTCCCGTAGGGTAGTTATAGAAATGGGCCAAAAATCAAAAATAAATTTTTTTGCATTTCTCGACGGTTTGAAGGTTTCTGAACATTTTGGCATACCTCAGAAAAAATGGATGTGTGTGTGTGTGTTTTTTGTGTGTCCGCATTTTTCGTTCAGGTTTTCGGGCGCACGGATCAACCGATTTGAATGGTTCAAAAAACATTCGATTCCTATTGATAGAAGGATGTGCTGATTAGTTTTTGGAAAAGGCAGGTCTAGCCGTTACGGAGACAAAGAGCGAAGAGTGCAGAAAATAGAAATCGAGTTTTTGAGAGAACGGAGCATCCGATTTGAATGATCTAAAAACATTCAACTAGTAATGATTGAGAGTAATGGCTATTAGTTTTTCGCAAAGGCAGGCCCAGCCATTTTGAAGATTCAGAGCTATATATACAAACAATGGCAGATTTTGAGAGAAATAAGCATCCGAATAGATTGATTCAAAAAACTTTCTGCTTGTGTTGACAAAACAATTGCTTTTGGAAAAAAAAATTTCATTTGAATTTTTTTTTTATATATCGAAAATAATTCAAATTTCATTCTTAATTCTGGCTAGAGTTTTAAAGCTCACTTATATACTTTAAATAAATATTTTTGACTTTGCATTAAGTTTATATAATTCTTATAAATAATAGACAATGTTACAGTATTTATAACAATCTATTTGAAAACATTTATAATTCGTTTGTAGTATACGCTTGTCGCCCTATTTATTATGCACTTATAATTTTACTGTATGTATCCATAATTAATAATCTATTTGAAAAAATCTAAAATAGAAATTGAATAATTTTCATGGATTATTGATTATTTTCATTCTTCAAATGTTCAATTACGGGACGGGAAATTCCAGCAATTTGTCTTAAGACACAATGCCATGCTTCACTAGTTTTTAAGTATACGTTATTCAATTGTTTTATAAGATGTATTGTTAATTTTAAGTTGAATCCAAAAGGTTTTTTTATATTTCCTCTATATAAAAGGGTAAAAGAAACCAAATAAACCTTCAATCTAGCAAAATAAAAAATAACAAATAAAAAAATAAATTATATTAAAACTAGCTGTAAGTGGAATTCTGTCTTAAGGCAATTAGGGCATCGTGCCTTAAGGCAAATTGCTGGAACTTTCTGTACTGCAATTCAAAATTCGAGTAATTAAAAATAATCAATAATAATCAATAAAAGTTGATTAATGATTTAAAACTTTTAATAAAATTTCTAACCATATTGAACCATATTCGAAACCATATTCGAACCATCATGTGCAAAAACACACCGTGTTGAAATAAAAACGTAATTTCTGAAATATATTACAGTTAATTAATAATATATTATATAGTATATATTAATTATTAATATATAATAATAAAATAATACAATAATCAAATAATTCAGAAAAATATTTTAACATTAACATTTCCCAGTAAATTAAATTCAACAAATGAGACTGATTATATTTAAATTAAAATGTGACTATAAATAATTAATTATTTTTTATTCGTCAAATTTTACTTAAAATTTGAAATGTTTACTTAGAATGATATAATTTTCACGAAGTACAAAGAAAATGGAAAATAAAAGAATTATATATATACTGTGGAATATTAAAAATTATTTGTATTTATATTGAAATTCTAATTTATTTATATTTATTATATTTATCTAAATTGAGACAGTATTGTTCAGTGAGTAAAATAGTATTGTCACCAGATTAAATAAAAATATTTTTGCCAATTGAACTTTCAAAGTCGAAAACAAATTTCAAACTCAATCATATTATATTTGAACTAATATATGAACGCGCATTGAAATATTGGGTATATCTTCTATATATATAAAAATAAGTCGGGTTTTCCTTCCTGACGAAATAACTCCAGAACGCACGAACCGATTTCGACAATTTTGCATTCGTTGGAAAGGTCTCGGGCTCCGCAAGGTTTATAGATAAGAAAATTAGTGGTGCATAGCATCGTGCCTTAATGCAAATTGCTGGAACTTCACGCACCGTAATTTAAAATTCGAGTAATGACATTAGTGAGAATTATCAGAATTATGCTTGGTTAAGTCAGCGAGCAATTCTTGCCGCAAAGAATAATGATGTACACGCACTGGATTTCACCATTAAATCAAAAATTGCTGGCGATTTGGTGACATACCAATGATTCTGACTGGTCTTCCGTTTGACTTCAAACGATTGCAATTTCGAGTCCGCCTTGCGTTTGCAATGACGATTAACAAGTCGCAAGGCCAATCGCTTAGTGTTTACGGGATAAATCTCAAATAGATTACTTAGAAAATCATTGTTTTTCACATTGGCAGTTATACGTTGCCTGTGAACGAGTTGGAAAACCATCCGCTTTGTTTGTGTTAACGTCAGACCAAACAACAAAAAATGTGGTTTACCAAATAGCACTCCAATGAAACGGATAATTTGCAGATTCACTTTTATTTACTTAGAGAAGTTCAACTAAAAAACGCTTCATTTTTGTAATAGAAATAAATTCATTACTGTTCTGCAATAAAATCAAATGTTTTCAATAATCAAATCAAATTTTTATATATATATATATATATATATATATATATATATATTGTAGTGGTATTCACCCTTTACAATAGTTATAAATAATATTGTAAATCGATGTAACAGTCAATATGAATAACGCATTTTGTATGACTCAACCTTGCGACATTGTACGCAACAAAGTATTAAAGATAAGCAACATTGTAACGAGCCGTAACGGTTTCTGCGTCACAAACAAACACCAATGAGTCATTCCTAACGGTAAAACAGGCGAACCTTCTAGAAGAATAATTACGTCACCATCGGAGATTATAAAAAGTCGGAAGACGGGAGAATATGTGTTCATTCATCACCTACTTGCCAAATAGTTCACATCACTCTTATTCAAAATATCAATAGTGTATTAAATTAAGTGAAACCAAGTAATGAATTAAATAAAAATTAATAAAAGTCTTCAGATGTTTGATTAAATATTCCACAGTGAAGCTTAGCAGCAGAAGAACCTAAATTTTAATTGTTGGCATCGATTGGACGCAACATAACTGTTGATGACGGCCTCAACATAAATTGTTGTTAACCCAGGGGTGCACAACATTAATTTGCTGGCAGCGTTGGGATTGCCACAACATTATTTGGTGGCAGTGTGGGATTCTGCAAATTTTTTTTTTTAAAAAAAATGCTAAATTATTTACCATAACATGTCTTGAACATAGAATTATTACATATTTGGACACCGGATATTTGAGAAAATACGCCGAAGTATAGCCAATAATTAGATTCAAAAAACGGTAAGAAGCTTTACTGAAGTGGAAATATCATTGAAATTACAAAGTGAAGACTCCAAAAATCAAGAAGTAAAAAAAAGAGAAAAATCGTAACAAGAAGAAACAAGAATATCAAATCAATAATCAAGAAACAAAGAAGAGAAAGAAGATAATATAAATCAAGAAGAAGAATCAAGAAGTTCAAAGTGTTATATTTAGTGAAGTGAAAAATCAAAGGTGAAAAATAAAATAAAAAGTGTTATGAAAAAGTGATACAAATCATTGTTCAAGGTTACAAAAGTTTAAGTGATTGTGAATTCGAGTGAACCAAAAGGATATTAAATTAAGAAAGGACTACAACTCATTGTCAGTAAGCTTATTTTTAATATATTTTTGTAAATTTTTGCGCTTCTGTTTCAATAGTTTACACATATTTTTTCAAAAAT